AAAGACTTGCCCACGGGTAGTTCTTGAGTGAAGAGCAGACTTGCCCATGGGTAGTTCGTGAGTGAAGAACATACTTGCCAACGGGTAGTTCGTGAGTGAAGAGCAGACTTGCCCACGGGTAGTTCGTGAGTGAAGAGCAGACTTGCCCACGGATAGGTCGTGAGTGAAGAATAGACTTGCCCACGGGTAGTTCGTGAGTGAAGAGCAGAGTTGCCCACGGGTAGCTCGTGAGTGAAGAGCAGACTTGCCCACGGGTAGGTCGTGAGTGAAGAACAGACTTGCCCACGGGTAGTTCGTGAGTGAAAAGCAGACTTGCCCACGGGTAGTTCATGAGTGAAGAGCAGACTTGCCCACGGGTAGGTCGTGAGTGAAGAACAGACTTCCTCACAGGTAGTTCGTGAGTGAAGAGCAGACTTGCCCACGGGTAGTTCGTGAGTGAAGGGTAGACTTGCCCACGGGTAGTTCGTGAGTGAAGAGCAGATTTGCCCACGGGTAGTTCGTGAGTGAAGAGCAGACTTTCCCACGGGTAGTTCGTGAGTGAAGAGCAGACTTGCCCACGGGTAGTTCGTGAGTGAAGAGAATTCGACTTGCCCAAGGGTAGTTCGTGAGTGAAGGGCAGACTTGCCCAAGGGTAGTTCTTGAGTGAAGAGCAGACTTGCCCACGGCTAGTTCGTGAGTGAAGAGCAGACTTGCCCACGGCTAGTTCGTGAGTGAAGAGCAGACTTGCCCACGAGTAATTCATGAGTGAAGAGCAGACTTGCCTACGGGTAGTTCCCGTGCCGCACGATAAATCAGGCCAAGAACCGCCAGCCAACCTGCAACAATGCGCACAGGACTAAGTATGCCATGTGCCAGACCGGTGTTTTGTACAAAATTTTAATGTCATGTGGGAGCTGCTACATTCGGCAGAGAGGACGCTGCATTAATGACAGAGTCAGGAAGCACGCGGCGCCGGTGCAGGGCACGGGGGCTGGGCGCCTTGCAGCCCATTGCCGCACGTGCGGCTGCAGGCCAAGTTTTAGCAGCGTTTCCATTATTAAAAGACACAGAAATGCCTTTGCGCGCGAGATTCTTGAGGCCCTGGCCATTGAGGAAAGCGCCGATGACTGCGTGAGCATGCCCTCCATCACGGTCAGCAAGAGAGGAAGGCAGTTTTTGCAGTGAGGCACGGCCCCGGTGAAAGGGTTTAAGAGGGATATGTGTCGGCGGTGGTCTGTGGGTTGGATCAGAGTTGGATCATTAATTTAATGTAATGAATTTATTTCATTTTAATTTTAATTTAGTGTTTCAATTTAGTAGTGTAATGTAAGGAATTAGGGTAATTCATTGGCATAACTTCAGGTGTGAATCTGTGGGTCAAAGTGATGAAGAAGTATAAAGTCGTAGTTGATAGTCAGCGGTGTGTATGTCTGTTTCTCCCTGTCTGTGTTTTGTCGCTACCGTACTAGCTGACCGTTTACGTTTGCATTATGTACAAACTAGTTCAACTTCAGCCTGTTATTCAGTTCTCATTCCGCATTTGTTTTTGGTGTGGCGGCTGTGAGGTCCGGGTTGGTGTTGTTATGACTCCTGTTGATAGCCATTCTTGTACTCTGAGTTGTGTCGTTTTGTGAGGTGAGATTCATCCGTTGGTATTCTTCTATGATCTGCATTTCTCTTCTAGAATCGCTGTCAAAGCCCCATTCTTGATGCAGTAAAATCCCCCGATTATGATATTGTCTTACGATTTTCTACATCCATGAGAAGTCGTCGTACTCTTCCTTTACTGGTAACTTGTTAGTCAAAATTAGTAGGATTTGTTTTTCCAGCGGAACTGTGCGAACGGCAACCACTTTTTGCCGACGGGTGCACATCTATGTGCATCCATCTGTTGGTGTAGGTGGTGTATTTCTAGAAAAATTGCTGCTTCTGTCATCATTCTCTAATTCTTCATGTATTCAATTGACGAAGAGAAGTTTGTGTACCCTCTTATGAGCCATATTAACCTTCTTGTTTCTTGAATTGGAAGTGCGTCTTTAAGTTCGTTACCCATTTTAAAGAGTAATTCGTTCATCTTGTGCCAGAAGCCCCTACTATTTCATAGTAGGAACGTGAGTGTTTGCTGTTGTTTAGCCGGGTTTTTGCGGCATTTGCTTGCAATGACTTAATTGTTGTGGGGTGGCATTCATGTTGCGCTATTGGTAACTGTAAATGCGGACAAAGTTGAACGTGGAACACAGGTTGTGCTTGGAACTGCGCTTGCTGCAATTAAAACTGGATTTGCAGTTTTAATTGCAAATTAAACAGCAGGTTTGCTATTTGTTCCTACAGGAGTGCTACAGGAACAAATAGCAGGTTCGCTATTTGTTCTTGTAGTTGGGCCGCAGTCTCACCTATAACTGCGAGGCTGACGGTGGTTTTTTCATTGGGAACGGAATTGTTCTTTTTAATGCGTTAGCATTAGACCGATCGTTTTAACGAAACCCCGGTGGTGTCTTTTGTTTGTCAGCCCCGTAGAGAGAGGGAGGAGGAGGAGAGGGTGACGCGTGCGACGCTCTCATACGTCCGAAGGGCTGACTTCAGCACGCGCCAACGTCTCCTATTTACAGACACCACCGAGTTTTCGTCAAAACGAGCCCTCTCGTTTTCGTCAAAGCCACGCGCACAGCTGGTGCGGAACTAGAGAGGAGCAGGCGCCGCGCGACACCTCCCAGGTGAAAAAGCCATGTAGTGCTGAATGAGATGGCGTCACCAGAGGAGGTCAACGCTGCTCACAAATTGAAAACGAGTGCCGCTTCAACTGTCGGCTCCGAGAAGAGTTTGTGCCGAACGCTGACGCAATCGAGGAAACACGTCAACATTATTGTACACTCTACTAAGGAAAGCGTCCTTTTAGATAATGCAACTTAAAGCTTGAGAACACAATGCGTCGAGAAACTGAGGGAGACCACAATACGAGAACGCGCGAGGATGTCAGAACGCCGTACTCTGGTTCGAGACCTAAAGCTAGCCGCCTTTGTCCCTACTGCACTCATCGAACGTGTTCGAATGCGAAAATGAAATGCCAGACTCCGGCGTTCCGCTTTCTAACGCAATGGACCATTGCAGTGGAGACAAAGATATCTAGCTTGAGGTCTACCCACTAATCATTCGAACCAGAGCTCGGCGTTCTAACCTCCCCAGGTGCGCTCATAGCCTCATCTCTCACAGTTCCTCGGCGCATTGGTCTCCTCACCTAAAAATGGTTTGTCCTCTGTCCCTTTTGTTTTAGAGCGCAGCTCTTAGGGGCCCGTTCCCGGCTTGAGCGGCGTCGCCGTCGGCGTCGGCGTCGCCGTCGCCGTCGCCGTCGGCGTCGGCGTAACCAAGGTCATCCCAAGGTCACGTGGCCCCCAAGGTCTCCCAAGGTCACGTGACCCCCAAGGTCACCCCAAGGCCACGTGACCCCCCCCCCGAGGTCACGTGACCCCCCTTCCGGTCACGTGACACCCCCAGGTCACGTGACCACCCCCAGGGTCACGTGACCCCCCCGAGGTCACGTGACCTGGGGGTGTCACGTGACTTCGGGGGGGCATCCGCATCGTCATCGTCATCATCACAGATGACGTCATCGGAGTCCGCATCGTCATCGTCACTGATGACTCCCCAAGGTCACGTGACCCCCCCCCCCAGGTCACTTCACCCCACAGTACCCTTCCCTCCTCCTCCTCAAGAGCTGCGCTCTAATTCGGTGTTACAGGGAGTTGTAAACGGCTTTCACTTTTTATCCAATCTCTTTGTACGCTGTTCTCTTTTATTATTTTCTTTCAAGGTCACCCATTCGCCCTTGATCACTAGATCACAGCAGTGTTGTAGGCGTTACCGAAAAAACTAACGACATTCGTTAATCTCTACTTGCCAATAAAAGTAGCGCGTTACCGTCCTACGTTACTTCGAAACAAAAGGAGTGCGTTACCGTTACCGATAAAAAGCAACATGCGTTACTTTTGCGTTACTTATTTATAATTATGAGTCCACACGTGTTACTGCTTTGGCGTTACAGGTATGCAAACGCACCATTTCTCGAGAAACATCATGTCCTTGCAGAAAATGAACAGGATTACTTTATTGTTTTATGGTTTTACCTTAATACTAAAAAGAAGACGTCAAAAACATGCAAAACAAAACTCAGATATTCCCGGTACTTGGCGTCTACAAACGCGAGAAAAACGCTCTGAGAGAAAAAGTAACGAGTAACGTAACCCCCTTTACCAGTTACTCCAAATAAGAAACGTAAGTACCTTACCCGTTACTGTTTTGAAAAAGTAACAAGTAGCTCGCTACGTTACCAGAAAGTGTAAAGCGTTACCAGTACCGCCGTTACTTGTAAGGTGTTACCTCCAACAATGGATCACAGTCACTAGATCTTTCGAAAGCGGCGCCAAGTTCCCCACATGGTCACGATTTTCGTTAATGAAATGGGCAGTTTCTCCTTGTCCTTTCCATTCTTGGTGAGCCTATCTAAATTAGCGGTGACAGGCTGCTTTAGAAAGACATTTCTCGTATACCGAGATTTTGTTATGAGCACCCCGGCGAAACAGAGCCACATCTTCGCATCGCTACCATAGGTTCCGTCGGTGCTTAACAGTAATGAAAAATAATTTCCCGGTCATGAAATACGCGAAAATTAAGTCATTATAGGAAATCTGTAGAGATTAGCACGATTGATAACTTGATCACATGCACAGTGTCAAAGACACTTATATTGGTGAGGAATGCTCGAGTACGATGACGCCCCATTGCGATCTTGGCGGGACTGGTTCCAAGCGACCCTTTCAAAGCTTCAAATATTGGATGCAACCGAAACGGCGGTTGTCATGGCATCAAGAACCAAGCCTCTGATCCCCTTGCGAGGTTTTTGTCACCTCTAGCTCAGTATCTGTTTGTGTCCGGCTAGCAGACAGGCGAGCCAATGACGCTACTTTCCCTGCCTTTAACCTTACAGCTGGTTATAGCGTTGAGCCCTTGGTAACTTCCACGCGCAGGGAGTTTATCAAGTACGCTACGCAATCCGGGTTCGATCCCCGCCTCTGTTACGGCGACATCACGCTGCGCTTCCTCTACAAGGGCGAGTACAAGGTCAAAGGAGCGACGCAGGAGCAAGGCCAGCACGTGCGCATCATGGCAGATCCCTCGGTCGACATAATGGGACTCGAGTCCATCGGGTAAGCTAGCCACCTTTTCCAATGTCTCTGATACGATTGGAAATGGATTGTTGAATTGTACGCTACTGCGGTTATGCACTGTAGCTTCAGTTATTAGCTGTAAACCTTGTGAGTAATATACGCAGTACCGAAAAGCGCGAAGATATCCGTTGCAGCCGAGAATTTCTGGAGTAAGCATAAGGGGCGTCTAGAATAAAAGGCATCACGAAACAAAAACAAAAAACTAGCGTAGGCTGCTCCACGCTTTCCCACAAGAACTCTCGCTGCATGACATGTGGAGGAGATTCAAGGATGTTTAATGATGAGGATAATATTCATAACTATTATATGGGCTTTCTGGTATAAACGGCTTTACAAAAACGGATCGAGCAGAAGTTGAAAAGGGCTGCCGCATGCTTTTCTTCTTAGTGGGTTGGGGCAAACGGGAGAAAGACCCGGATGGCTTTCATGAAACCTCATGAAACTATATTTCACTCGACGCCGTCCATCTCGCACGTTAATGGCAGATGAAAAAGGTCAGCTTCCGCTCGACTCCAGCGCGGTCGCACAATACGACGCACTCTACAGAGGACACCGGTATTCAAAAATGCGCCGCCCACAAAACAAAAGCGGTTTGTAAGGGCTGCTATCCATCGCATCAACTGAAATCTAGCCCCAGCCGACGCTACGAGGCAATGGGACCAATCAAGCAGCGCCAAAAGCGCAAGTCACTGTTCCTTTTATGTCTATGATTCAGTCGGCGATAATAGAACACCTACGAAAACATGACCAACACCATGATGGTGCGCTTTGGACGCTCACTGATTGGTCCCTTGAGCTCGTAGCATCAACTGCGTCAGGATTTAAAGTGAAACGGAGTATACAGGCAAAGCTTGTCAGTTCAAAAATGAGTGCTTAACAAACTTTAGTTAACATTCGATTATATTACATAACCGATCTCACCAGCCAGTTTGGCTACGCCACCGCCCTCGCAATGCATCGAGGGAACTTGAGTCTTTCTGCGCGTGCGGCAATCACTGATCTCTATCCTAGTAGGCTGGATCGCAGATCGGGAGCACGTCGGTGGTACCACTGGCAGCCATTATTTGACACCAGGCAATACACGCGAGTCTATGAGAGAAACACACAAAAGTAAGAATATTGAAGCTCGTTCGAGGTGTTCGAAGGTGAGTATTTTATGATGCGCCGCGATCAATATATTGCGGCGTTTGGAGATTGAATCGGTATTGGCCGAGCGTTCGAACACCCATTATAAAACTCAAACGTGCCAGAGCACCCTCTGCTCAGCTGGCAAGCGTGCTCTCGTCGAGGAGAAAACGAAGGAACTTGTCGTCAATAAGACCTTCCTAGGGGAAGCAAAAAAGTTGATGAATGTCGATAAAGTTCCACGTTGACAGCGGCTTTCCGGAAGTGAGCAAATTCCGCTTAGCAAAGCCTTCAAGCTTGTGGTCTGCTAAACCTAACTCATCAAAACCGCCAGCGACTCCGCGGTAACTCTAGGCAACTTTAACCTCATAGAGCTGCACTACAAGTGTCGCCCACCGGAGTCAATCTTGACCCGAAAACATTTATTTATAAGAACTGCGAGGGCTCTCAGTTTTAATGTTTATGCGCACGCTATTCGACAGGCCTTCCGTAAAGAAGCCAAAAAGTTTCAGTGCCGACAGCAACTTAGAAACGGGGTAAACTGCACTTTTTGTTTTCTCCCTGGATTCCCATGCATTGGCTGGTGTAAATTTATGGCCACCTGTGGTGCTACACGGCCCCAGCAAGACAAGCCTCTATCCGCGATCCAACCTCCTACCATAGAGATCAGTGGCGGCAACCTCGCTGGAGCTCTGTGCAGGCAGAGCAGGAGCAGTCTCGTGAACTGCCGCCTCTTTCAGAAGACGGTGTGTTTATTTCAACAATCTATGTTCTTTTTAGATATTTTACAGCCAATCAGGCGTGACCATAATATAAAGAAGTAGGTCTATTTTCAAAGCAAAAATAATGAAAAGGGTAAGACCGAGGGTCCGCGACAACCTTTTCAAAATGCCGGAATGCCCCTGTGTCACAAAACCGTTGCACGCCCACCTTTTGAGAACTAAAGTTACAATGGCTTTACGGATGCGCTGAACGCTTGGCGAGATCGATCAACTGTCACATAATAAAAGTTACTAATGCATTCGAAGGAAAACATAAAAAGGCAGAATTTTATTTTAGGGGTAACTCAAATTTCCGCCTAAACGAGCGCAAGCAAATAGTTTAGAAAATAATCCAAAATCAGTGCACTGTTCTTCGTTTCGTTGGGTGTCTTTAACGATCCCGGCACGAGTTCTTGACAAGCACAAGGTCACGCGTAAAAGTAACATTAGGTAAATTCAGACGTCGTCGCTATTCATTAAATCGCGGCCATTACTAACCAAATCTAGACAGATGTGAGCGCTCTGCGGTCACGTATTTCGCTCGACACGTAGGTCCTCCAACGAGACGCAAGTGGTCAAGGCCTTGAACCACGAGTTCCAAGACGTCTCATTCAAGAAGATAATCACGTGCAAACTCTGCAACGCTAGGGTGAGTGAGGACCCTGAGCTCCGTGATCACTATACAAATTTCGTTTCGCTTCCCTGAATAGTTGCCCTCATTACGTCTATCGAGAGACGGTTGAAACTAGGCGAATTTACGGGGTAGCCGTGTCGTAGTTCACAAGTACTCGCAAGTTCACGAGCCTATAGATTTGATGAAATCGCAAGTTGCGCGAGAGAACGCACGCCCACAATTTTGACAACAATACTGTCGAGACCGGTTATAACGAAGTCCACGAGAATTGGAAATCACTTCGCTCTATCCGCTATTTCGTAATAACCGACTTCGGTTACAACGAAGTGCGAAAGGGAATGAGATATCGTGATCGCTTCGCTGTAGCCACTATTTCGTTATAGCCGACTTCGTTATAACCGGTCTCGACGGTACGAGTATTTCCTAGAATATTTAAGGCCCGTGAACCAGCCTTCGTTTTGCGTTAATTCTGAACGCAGACCGCGCTGCGATCCGCCAAAAGGTGGCTCTGAATGCGCGCCGTCATGGCGCTCGTCGGTGTGTTTGCTATCACCAACTAATTAACAATCACGCACGGTGTGATGCTGCGCTTCTATGTGCGATTGGCTTAGCCGGTGCAATAAACGCGCAAAGTCGACCAGCGCAATGACGACGCACTTTTGACGCTGCATGATTCATCGCATCGTAGCCTTGGCTGCAGTCGGACTTAACCTGAAACGGGCACATCATCATAAGACGGAAATCGGCCATGAGTGCTGTGTCAGCGTCAGCTGGGCCTCCAGTGCGTCGAAGCAGGCTCGGTATCAGGATGGGGTCCAATCGTTCCGTTGGCGTCATCCCCGATTAGCTGTACGGAGAACGCTCTTCGTGGCGCTTCGATTCTTTTGTCATCCTTTTCACATCGATAAAAAAATAGTTTTCCGCGTTGTTCATGCGGCGCGCAAGGATTTGATAGTCGGAGAAAGAAGCGATGCTTTTGGCGTTAAACGAGTACGTTTCGATAAGATAACATGGACAACAATATGGCAGCCAAACACCTTTATTGTTAGTGATAACTTATAAGGCGAGTACGTTGTCAGATGACGGGATCCTTGCGGTCGGTCCTGAGCACCGCTGCAAAGAGTGCGAGCGAACGCGAGTCTCATCGCGGCGTTCAAGTTGCTGGGTGCCTAAGGTTCGGTGGACTCTTAAACTGAAGTCAGCAGACCAGACGTCTTCCCGCTGCTATGCCACAGCCAAGATCGCAACAACCATATGACGCTCTCAGACGCCGAGTGAGGAATCATATTTGTGGACGCGGTGAAAAAACAATCGGGAACGACTTTTAGGCACCATACTATAACTGAATGTCTCCGTATTTTGGTCATCTTTCCAGATCTGGATGGGATCCGGTGCCCGATGTTCCATATGCAAGATGATAGTTCACACCAAATGCCTCGTGCAAAGTCAACAGAAGACTATCTGCAAGCAGTGCGTGTATACATTTAGGCACCCGCTCTTCTTTCTTTCTTTACTTTTTTTTTTTTGGTCATAATTGTGGAACAAATTGGTCGAACCCACGTTAGATGCCACGTGTAAAAAGATTGACTTGTTTCTTTGTTTTTTTTACATCATCAAAATAAACTACGCATCGACGAACACTTATTCTTCGATCAAATTTTGCGCTAGCGGTCCGAACCAGATTCCAAAATTTAGGAACTAACCGTTATCTTATTCCAAAGTTTCTTGATTTTCTTAAAGTTTCAGTTGGAAAGTGGTGGCCGACAGAGATTTAGAATGCATACAACTAAACGACGTCATTTACCAGAAACGGGCAAATACCGGCCCCATTTTACCATCACTTTTTTTCAGACTTGGACGTAGTTCAACTACTTTACTCAAACTACTGTAGTTTTACTACTTTTCCGAGTAACTTGGTAACTTTCAATTACAACTTTATTTTGGGTAATTTTAGTTTAATTTAACTACGTTTTTCAAGTAACTTCTACTCAAATTACCAACTACTTTCGAAATCTAATGAGGGATTTTCTCATCACTAAAGTCTGAGTGCAGAAATAAATAAGGCGCTGGCAGATGAAGTGGTATTCCCCAACAATGGGCCCCCTCAGATTCCGTTCCCACGCACTTATACTCGGCAGCCGTAGAAACTGCATCGCAGACGTCCTTGGGCCAAGGTGGCGACGAGCAGCCAAAACGTAACACCGGCGCGCACGAACGCAGGCAGAGGTGCCTAACAAGCCTTGGTCGGGTATTGACCTAATCCGGTAACGCACGCAGGCGTCGTGCCTCCAGCTGCAACCATGAAAGACTGGGACACTCCGAGGGTTGTTGTTGTTTTCATGTTTTCTGCCTCTAGTGAGTTCTGACTCAAGTGGTAGGTTGCGCGGCAGGCGGCACTGGAATGACCTCGCAGCTGGGCGCCTGTTCCCATGGTCGCCTCGCCGTCAGTGCATACTCCCTTGCCAAAGCCGGACTCCCCCGCGCACAAACGTAGACACGGATAATCCCTTCATTGGAGCAGGTTCCCGCTTTCAGCTGCAACTGTACAAGCGCCGATGCTTGCTCACGTAATCCTTCGCGTGCTTCTGATCTTCCACGCCAGGAAGACCTCCTCTTTGTTGAAAACGTTTTACTTGCCAGGCGTGTCAGGCGCGTCAGGATACCGTAGTCGCCGGCGAGGATAGCGAGTCACCCTTGGGAGATAAAAGTATACTTCGTTTCATTTTCTGTTAAACCCAAACAATTTTTTTGTTTTAGAGGCGTAGCACTAGCACTGCAACGAGACGCGCAGTCGTCCGGATAATCTCATCGTCGTGCCGGTTGACTTGATCCATTGACGGTCAGGTGCACTCGCTCGGCGTACTCTACGAACGTCGTGAGAATAAAGCTGGTCAGTCATAAAAATCTCAACTTTCCGAAGAAAAAATTAAAAAAAGGAGGAGAGTTTGTTATAAAAGACCCGCTAGCCGAGGCAAGCCTCACACGTTTCTTCATGGGCACCAAAGATGCCGACACTCGCTTACCCGACCCTGCACAGCCTGTTTTTGAAATTGAACGCTCTTTGCATCCAGCGCCACGGTAGAACGTCTGTTTAGCTTGACTGAGGACGTCATTAGAAGGAAAAGGGGAAAACTCTCCGATAAGAGCTTTGAAAGACAATTGCTTCTGCGAGCGAATAAACTATTTCGGAAGTCATAAAATGACTGCATTTATTTTAGGCTCGCAGGGTTTTTCGCGGATCAAAACCGATGTTCATTTTGCTACCGCAAAAATATTAAAAGTAACTTCGAAAGTAACTTCAAAGCAGACTTGGACGTAGTTCAACTACTCTACTTAAACTACTGTAGTTTAACTACTTTTTCGAGTAACTTGGTAACTTTCAATTACAACTTGATTTGGGTAATTAGTAGCTTAATTTAACTACTTTTTTCAGGTAACTTCTACTCAAATTACTAATTACTTTCGAAATTATATAGTGCTAATTTTGCCCATCACGAAAGTTTGAGCGTAGAAATGAATAAGACGCCGGCAGATGAAGTGACATTCCCGAACAAGGGGCCCCCTTGTTCGGGAAGGCGTCCTTGGGCCAAGGTGGCGACGAGCAGCCAAAACATAACACCGGGACGCACGAACGGAGGAAGAGCTGCTGAACAAGCCTTGGTCGGGTATTGACCTAATCCGGTAATGCACGCAGGCGCCGCGTTTCCAGCTGCAACCGTGAAAGACGGGGGCACTCTGAGAGTTGTTGTTGTTTTCGTGTTGTCTGTCTTTAGTGAGTTCTGACTAAAGCGGTAGGTTCCACGGGAGGCGCCACTGGAATGACCTCGCAGCTGGGCGCCTTGCTGTCAGCGCATATGCCTTTGCAAAGCCGGACTCCCCCGCGCACAAACCCTGGTACGGATAATCCGTTCATGGGAGCACGTTCCCGCTTCCGGCGACGATGCTTGTTCACGTAATCCTTCGCGTCCTTCCGACCATCCATGCCTGGGAGACCTCTTTGTTAGAAACGATTCAGGCGCGTCCAAATATTGTAGTCGCCGGCGAGGATTGCGAGTTACCCTTGGGAGATCCTTTTGTTGGACCCGGCGTCAGCGGCGAAGTATAGTTCGGTTCATCTTCTGTTAAACCAAAACATTTTTTTTTTCAGTAGCGTAGCACTAGCACTACAACGGGACGCGCAGTCGTCCGGATGATCTCATCGTCCTGGCGCGAGACTTGAACCCTTGACGGTCTGGTGCACTCGCTCAGCGTACTCTCAGAACGACGTCGGAATAAAGAGGGGCCAGTCATAACAATCTCAACTTGACGAAGAAAAAAAAAGGAGGAAAGTTTGTTATAAAAGACCCTCTACCCGAGGCAAACCTCACATGTTTCGTCATGGACACCTAAGATGCCGACACTCGCTTACCCGACCCTGCACAGCCTGTTTCTAAAATTCAACGCTGCCGTTCCATCCAGCCCGTCGGTGGAACGTCTATTTAGCTTGGCTGGGGACGTCTTTAGAAGGAAAAGGGGAAAACTCTCCTATCAAGAACTTTGAAAGTCAATTGCTTCTGCGAGCGAATGAACTATTTTGGCCAAAACGCAAGCCATGAAATGGCTGCATTTATTTTAGGATCGCAGGGTTTTTCATTGATCAAAACTGCTGTTCATTTTGCTACCACAAAAATATAAAAAAGTAACTTCGAAAGTAACTTCAAAGTAACTCGCTACTTTTTACAGTAGTTAGTAGTTTACTCAATTACTATTACGAATGCGTAATTTCTACTCTACTCCAATTACTTTTGGCGTCGATACTCAGTAACTTAACTTAACTACCTTTTTTGAGTAATTTGTACATGTCTGCTTCAAAGTAACTCGCTACATTTTTACAGTAGTTAGTAGTTTACTCAATTACTATTGCAAATGCGTAATTTCTACTCTACTCCAATTACTTTTGGTGTCGATACTCAGTAACTTAACTTATCTACCTTTTTTGAGTAATTTGTAGATGTCTGCTTTTTTTAGAAAAAATTACAAATAAATGTTCATTTGTTAAACTTGCATCTGGTTCGGACCACTAGCGCTACATTTGGGCGGAGAATGGGCGCACCACAGTATTTGGGCGCACCCCAGCTCTGAACAGGATAGCGACAGCTCGCGCTGCACAATCCATGGATCCTGGGTTCAGTCCCCACCCCTGCCCGCATAAGTCGGTGAGTTCGCTAACCAACCGGTACACGAAAACAATGGAGAGTCCCGGTTGCCTATGTCTCACTACTGTGTACAGATTGCACACCACTTCCTAGGTTTGTTTTAAAAACTCTTGGGTGCCACACTTCGTGAAAATCTAATCGGGCGAATAAAGGAGCGAGCTCACAGAAGGTACCGACGATACACCTTATCGCTGACAACCAACGACGCACACGAGAAAGATGGCATGTTTGTTTTGCAAGGAGGATAGGAAACCTGCAGCGAAACGTGAGAACCCGAAAGTGTTAAAAAGAAATGCTATATGGTTTAAAGCTCTAAAAAGGACAATTTTATATATTTTTTTAATTGCTCACGTTACATTCAGCAGAATATTTTGGTTGAACTATATTCAGCTGCGCAGTGAAATCCTGCTTCGGCGCCGTAGCTTTGGCTCCATCGCCACAAAGAGTTAACCTTGAGTATATGGGTCATATATACAGTGGGTAACAAGAAGGTTAGTTGATTAAGTTGTTATAAAAAAGCCAGTATCACTAGGATTATGGCCCATTTTTTGTGATTTCCGATATAGTCTTGGACATTGCCGCTTTCTTAACTGTTTCCAGAAAAATATGGCCCGATGAATGCCCGGTGGAAGTTATCGGTAAGTAACCATTGGTAAAAGTCTGAATCTGCCTTGATTCCATCCAGGTTAACGTTACGACCTGGGTTTAATGTTTTCTAGATTTAATTTTCTTAAAATTGGGGGGGGGGGGGGGGGGTAACTTTTTTTCACAAATTCGGTATTTTTCGGTGTCACTGTTTGGTGATCGGTGACAAATATCGGTGTTTATGGGGCTGATGTGGAAAAAATAAGGCATGAGACTTCTTGCAGGAAACATGTGCGCGTCCCCGAATACTGCGAAAACGTTCTGGTATCAATAAGAAAAAGAAATTAAATTAGTCCCAATAAAGACACAGCATTGTGGACAGTTAAATGTAAATTGAATTAACGTTCCAGAAATCAGAACAGCAAGCGCCTACTGCTCTGTAAGCTACTTTTGACCGAATTCTTGCTGCGCCTACCCGGAGATGGCGCCACAAACAAAACTCTCGGATAGTGTCCCTAGATTTGAGAGTGGTGCCAACCTCTCAATCGCGGTCACGTGGCCTATGGGCTGCGCTTGCAACCCAAGCTGCAAGGAGGAAGGTTGGATCGTCCATGCTTTGCTCAGCCTCTCGGTCCGCTACCCTCCTCGCCACGCGAGAACGCACCAGGAGGCGCCCGCCGTTATATCCGAGTGCTTTCCATGCTTTTTATTTTCAACCAATCTAGGCTTTCTGATCTCAATATAAAATTTAAAAGCCCTAACAAAGACGAGGACAAAAAAGGAGGGCGAACAGGACGAGCGCTTACTCTCAACTGAACATTTATTTAAAAACAGCTAAAGCAAACAACATCCGACAAAAATACACTGAATCACTCAGTGGCGTCACTCCCCACCACGTGTCAATAAGATCACTCTCTTTTTAGTGCAGAAAAATTGACGGCTGGCTGACGCATCCTTCAGTGCCCTCCTTTTTTATAGCATGTGCCTCAAGCACTTCCCTCGCAGCTTTGTCACGAGCCCTCCCCACATCGTGGTATTTTGAAAGTTGGGCTGGCACAGACAGTATCTGCAATGAAGAGGCAAGTGTCCTCCAGGTGTTGAGCGCAAAGCCAGGTCATGCTCGCGCATCCTCTCATTTACGCACCGTCCTGTTTGGCCGATATACACCCTACCGCATGTCAGCGGTATTCTGTACACCACGCCCCACGTTACAATCTACAAATCTGTTAGCGTGATTGATTTGCACAAGGGCGCGTAGTTATTTTTTTTTTATCCGTGGGCATAATAGGGGGGGGGGGGGGGGGGGGGGGGGCAACTTACATGGCGCCGAAAACATAAGCGGCACATCGAATCTTTCTGCCACCTTTTTTTACATCATGTGAAATTTTGGGCAAGTAGGGGATGACCTGAGGTCTCGTTTCTGTTTTTTTGCTTTTGTACCCTCAAACTTGCCCTTGATCTTTTTCAGCAGCGTCTCGGCAACTCCAAGCACAAGTGATGTTGGATAGCCGGCATCTCTAAGTAGACTAACCTGCCGGCTGAAGCTGTCACGCATAACGTGGTGGCATGACTCCTGGAGTGCCGCCTGGAAACAAGACGAAGCAATACCCCTTTTTACTACTTTGGAATGTGCCGAATCATATAGGCGAGGATTCCCTTTTTGGAGCGCGGGTGGTAACTCCAACACACATGGTTTCCCGTGAATTGGAGTCTCAAGTCTAGAAATTGGAGAAACTGGCCGCCCGGGAGTTCGTGAGTGAACTTTAAGCCATTTGAGTTGTCATGAAACACTTTTAGCACACACTCAACAACCTGGCGCGCCAAAAGGTTGTCAGAACGTTGCCATAGCACCAAATAGTCGTCCACATACCGGGCAACCTTACACACTTCTTTCCCTTTCAAGCCAATCTGAACATTTCGGTCGAACTTGGCTAGGAAAATGTCACAAAGGGCAGGGGCGACGCAAGATCCTATACAAATACCTGCTTTTTTCACATAATAACTGCCCTCATAAAGAATGAAGGTGGACTGCAGGTAAAATTTCAAAAGTTCCATAAAACCGTCCAAGTCTACACCACAAGCGTTTTGGAGGCCGACAACACCATTTTCCTCGATGGCCTCACGTACAACAACAAACAGGTCCTCGTGAGGTACCGAGTAAAAAAGATCAACTACGTCAACAGAAAACGCTACAACGTCCCCCGTAGTGCCCCTCTCAGGAAACTTCACTATGGTCTGAGAGTTTTTTTACCAAAAAAGGATCAATCAGCTCCAGAGTGCTCAGGTGTTTCTGCATAAAGAGGCTTACTTGTTTCTGCCATGATCCCCTCTCTGTGACAATCGCGCGTACAGGCGTGCCCGGCTTATGAGTTTTTGCAGAGAACAACAGATCAAGGTACCCTGTCTTACACTGCCTGACACTTTTTTCCAACGTAGACAATTGGAGACCACTGGAGATCAACTTAAGAGCGGCACTCTTAAGGGTACTCCGCCGTTTTCTTCATAGTCCCCGATTTGCCTAAAAGCTTGCTAAAAACACCAACAAACATCGCTGAACTATTAATCTAAATATTTGGACAAAATAACTTTTTTTCGCGAAGTTACTGGATTTACAATTTTGGTCCTCATCGTGTTTTCCAAAGTGAAAAGCTCTACTGGCAACATTGAAAAAGTGACGTCATGAGTGTGCAGGGGTTCACTCTTTGAGCTGTAGACTTTGTTTTCAACTGATTACATGCAGTTTTATGGTGTCAAATGAATGCTTTGGAAAGTCGCTCCAGCTCCCGCGCAGCAGCACGATACAAATGCTCGGCATAGTTCACTTTTAGAGTGCCCGCTCGAACCGCAAGCCAGCACATTCCTGACGTCACGGCAATGAAAAGCGCGGGTGTATTCGAATCTTCGTTTTGGCGTCATTTTCATTTGCCGATTTCACAATAACTATTCTGAATTTCGCGATACAAAATAACATATTAGAAAGAGTAAAGGACGGCGATTTCAAAAATATAGTTAGTTGGGGTTGCTCAAAAAGTCGCCGGAGTTCCCCATTAAACTTTTTAGGGTTGAGGGGGGTCAGTCTAAAGTTCTTTTGAATAGCGTCCCGAGACTTGGCCTGTAACATGTCTTCCAGGAGCACCACGAAACCTCCCTCTTTATCGGCCTGCAGTAAGCCAAGATTTTGACGTTTAAAACACGCTACTACATTATTTAGCATGCTTCCACTAGGAACTGATGACGTTTTTGGCACACATCGCAACAAACAATTCACCCCTTCTAAAACACGCCTGTCCTTCTCCTCCGCCGGTGCCTTCTCAGACACACCTCGCGCCACAGCCAGAAGTTCGTGTGCCCTCATACGCGGTTCTACACTGTACTTAGGTCCTTTTTCAAGTGTACGCGTAACGTCTTTGGGCACCTAAGCATCTCCCAAAAGTTTCAGCCCCCCTTCACCAGGTGTTGTCGACCGAGGCTTTTTGGGAATTCCTAGTCTGACGCGTTGCCACAGGAAGTCTGTTACCTGTGTAACAAGCCGAAAGTACTCTTGGTGTTTTCGATATCCTGTAGTGGCAGCGTTGTCGCACAAACACAGAGCCTTGAGACAGTCGTGCAGGAACCGAACTTGCCTCCAGCACTCGGACCTTAAAATCCTGCAGATGCGCTTGGTATCTCCGCTTGATGGTTGTAGGCAGCCGAAAATGCATGTTACTTCTGCTGGTGCTTGACCGTTCATGATGCAGGTTGAAAGATATGGAGCGCGACATGTTGACACAGCTATGAGGTTGACGCAGATAATGGGGGTTGATTGCCGTTGCCGTCGAAACACGATTAGTCGACTTAGAGATGCCGGCTATCCAACATCACTTTTGCTTGGAGTTGCCGAGACGCTGCTGAAAAAGACCAAGGGCAAGTTTGAGGGTAAAAAAGAAAAAACAAAAACGAGACCTCAGGTCATCCCCTACTTGCACAAAATTTCACATAACTTAAAAAAGGTGGAAGAAAGATTTGATATGCCGCTTGTGTTTTCGGCGCCATGTAAGTTGGCCCAATTATACCCACGGGTTCAGGAAAAAAAGAACGACGCGCGCTTATGCACCGTCAATCATGCTAAAAGATTTGTAGATTGTAACGTGGGCGTGGTGTACAAAATACCGCTGACATAAACAGGACGGTGCGTAAATGAGAGGATGCGCGAGCATGACCTGGCTTCGCGCTCGACACCTGGATGACACTTGCCTCTTCACTGCAGAGACTCTTTGTGCCAGCCCGACTTTCAAAATAGCACAATCGTGGGGAGGGCTCGTAAAAAAGCTGCGAGGGAAGTGCTTGAGGCGCATGCTATAAAAAAGGAGGGCACTGAAGGCTGCGTCAGCCAGCCGTCAATTTTTCTGCACGAAAAAGAGGGTGATTTTATTGGCACTTGGTGATATGTCACGCCACTGAGTGATGCAGTGCATTTTTGTCGGAGGTTGTTTGCTTTAGCTGTTTTTACATAAATGTTCAGTTGAGAGTAAGCGCTCGTCCTGTTCGCCTTCCTTTTTTGTCCTCATCTTTTTTAGCGCTTTTAAATTTTATATCATGAACCAACTCGCCCGCTTCGCCAATTTAGTTTCTGATCTCGAGCATCGCTATCTTATGCGTATCGGTTCGTCAGTATCATGTAATCCTCCATACAGTGTGAACGGCTATATGACTTTCACTATTGTCGATGTCGCGTTTACTGTCGTATTTTATATTTTGAACAACCCAAACCTGTTCATTATAAAAAAAAAACATTATGTGAAATAAATAAAAATAAAGTATGTGATTCTAAACATTCATAGCAGCAGAGCTGTAGTGAAGGGTTTCACAGAGTAAAAGAAGCAACTAAAATACTCTTCATTAAATTCTGATTCTCCAGGCGCAAACGTCACTTTTTCCGGATCGCTTTAGAATCCATTTTCTTACTATTTTTTTTTTTTTTTTTTTGCGTCATCCTATTTGCGATTTCGTCTAAATGGACTGCACCCAGCGCGGAAGAACACTGAAAAGGCCGGAGCAAGTTCACTCGCTATTTCTGCTCGT